GAAAAAAAAGTGAAAATATGAAGGCTGCAATAATGGACAATGAATAAAATGATTTTCTTTTGGAAAGATGTAGCACAATAAACATTTGAAGCTCTTTGGAAATTCAAGCTTAAATAACAGAATGTCATACAATTAAATGTAATTGAAACCCCCAAAATTATGGTAATTCAGAATATGCATCCAATCACTTTGTATGGGATGCATTTCTAGCAAGATCCTTAACGTAAATATCAATGCTGATCAAAAATAGAAGCAATTATTACTCTCTGTTCTACCTTTATTCAATGTTTTCCTCGACTCTTTTGCTTTCCTAACCTTGTTTTGCCAAAGTACAGCAGAGGAGATTTGTATTCTTCTTTTGGTAATCTTGCCACCATCTATCCCTTCGATTAGGGTTGCCGAATCCACCATGATTTCCTTGACATATCTTGTTGATTGAAGGCTTTCATGTTATAACTAGAATTCTTATGCTGCAGGTCTCCAGATTGAGTTATCACCCAATACACTACCTACAGAACTTGACTTCTACATATCATTGGGCAACACTTTCCATATGTTCCCCATCAACTGATATGTGTCCCGTAAAACAGTGAATTTGGCATCTCTACATTTGATCCATTCTCTTGCACCTTTTTATATTCTCTCCTCCATATTTCCTCCTCTTGTCTTGAGGAATTTATTTAAAAATGCTGTTATAATTGCCATCCTCAAAACATCTTTTCTTGTCCAATCCAATTTGTGCTTCTGACTTCTTTCTTATTCCTTGTATTTAGTTAATTGTCAAATCCTTACATTAAAAAAAAAATACTGCTTGTATTTGGCCTTTTTGGTGCAGCCATGACTCAGGATGCAGTGTTTTTGCTTCATCTTGGCGTGCTCCATTTTATATACAGTATCTTGTGATAAAATTTTAAAGTAAATTCCAGAGCAGTCTATTATGTTTTTCATAAAGGTTTTACACAAAAAACTAAGGAGTTTCTTGGCTGGGATCAGAGTGCTTGTCATTCCTACTGGGAGAAATGAGTTATCAGTGGGTGCAGTAGAGAATCACAACCTGTTCTAGAATTAAACAGTTTATAGTGCTGATATTGAGACCAAGGCATTATCTGAATTTAGTGAGTCACATTGTAGTAATGTTTCAGATGCTCGCAGATTTTCGCAGACGAGCACCTTGGTAATTTGTCTTTCCACGTGAATCAAGCGGGTGAATTTGGGAGTGTATTGGTCTGGAAAACAGTACTCTTTACAGGAGAATACCATTGTGTGAAGTTTTGGTCAGATTACAGGCCCCCCTCAGTTCAGAGTCAAAACGGTTTCATCTTTTCATTTTTTATTTGTGTTTGTTTAAATAATTTTTTTCTGATGACTGAATCAAATTCTGACCTTTTAAAGGATTGATCTGTTTAGCATACTCTAAATTGTTCAAAAATATTATCATACATTGTAGTGAATAATTATTATTTCAGGTCAAAATCTTACTGAATTGTATTATTCAGATATACATTTAGAATAACCTTAAAGCAACACTATAGGGTAAGGTAAAGAAACATGTATATCTAACCCTATAGTGTTAAAAACAACCATTTTGCCCCCATTGCCTCCTAAATATAGTAAAAGCTTACCTTTATTCTAGTCTCCTGCTGCTGGCTCTGCCCCTGTTCTGACGGCTTGGCTGACATCATCAGAAGTGTTAATCACAATGCTTTTCCATAGGATTGGCTGAGACTGTCAGGGAGGCAGATCAGGGGCAGAGCCAGCACAAGTCAAACACAGCCCTGGCCAATCAGCATCTCCTCACAGAGATGCATTAAATCAATGCATCTCTATGAGAAAAGTTCAGTGTCTCAATGCAGAGGGTAGAAACACTGAATGTCAATCTCCAGGAAGCACGTGTAGTAGTCATCTGAAGAGTGGCCAGTGGAGTTATCACTAGGCTGTAATGTAAACACTGCATTTTCTCTGAAAAGACAGTGTTTATTGCAAAATGCCTGAAGGGAATAATTATATTTACTAGAACAAATACAATAAGCTGTAGTTGTTCTGGTGAGTTTAGTGTCCCTTTGACCCCTTAAGGACACATGACATGTGTGACATGTCATGATTCCCTTTTATTCCAGAAGTTTGGTCCTTAACCCCTTAGCGACCCAGGACGGTTCAGGACCGTCATCGGCATTTTTGCCTTGAGGACCGATGACGGTCCTGAACCGTCCTAACGGTTTCCGTTACTTACCTGATCGCCGTCGTTCCCCCGGCGGCGATCAGCGTTGCTCCGGTTGTGGGGAGACTGCCTGCAGCCCAGACAGTCTCCCCACACTGAATTAGGACCCCCTGTGGCCATGTGATCGCTTAACACAGCGATCACATGGTCACAATAGGTGTCCTAGTGTCTGCCTGCAGGGGGACTCTGTGCTGACAGGCAGTCTCCCTGCTAGTGTAAAATCAGAAAATAAAATAAAGTTAATGTTAATTAAAAAAATAATAATAATTATATATGTGTATATATGATATATAGACATATATTATATCTATATAATATATGTCTATATATCATATATATATAATGCCATACTAAGTGTATTTTTATATTAATATGTACTTATATTAATATAAAAATACACTTATAATTAAATTACACACGTATATATATAATATATATAATAACTATATATATTGTATATATATATTATTATAAAATATAAATAATAAGTAATTTAAATTAAATAAAAAATTTTTAAAATAATAATAAAAAAATTAAAAAAAATTATATCTATATGAAATTTTATTCTAACTGTATTTTAAAATTAATATATATATATTTATATCAAAATACACTTAGAATGAATTTGTATATATATCTATGTATATAAAAATAAATAAAAATAATAAGAAATATACATATGTCCATATACAAAATTACATAAATAATTATATAAATATACACGTAGACTTCAGATATATAAATATGCATATATATTTAAATTCTACGTGCGTATTTATGTAATAGTTTTACATAATTCAGTAATTTTATTGATTGCAATTTAAGGGACCTGCCTGCCAACCCAGGCCGAAATTCCAGAGAATTGAATTTGCTAGCACTGTATTTTACCCTGTAACGTTCTACGACACCCTAAAACCTGTACATGGGGGGTACTGTTTTACTCGGGAGACTTCGCTGAACACAAATATTAGTTATTCAAAACAGTAAAACATATCACAGTGATGATATTGTCAGTGAAAGTGACTTTTTTTGCATTTTTCAAACACAAACAGCACTTTTACTGATGATATAATTGTTGTGATACGTTTTCCAGTTTTTAAACACTAATATTTGTGTTCAGCAAAGTCTCCTGAGTAAAACAGTACCCCCCATGTACAGGTTTTATAGTATTTTTGAAAGTTACAAGGTCAAATATATGGGTCAAATATTTTTACATTGAAAATGGCCAGGTTGGTTACGTTGCCTTTGAGAGCGTATGGTAGCCCAGGAATGAGAATTACCCCCATGATGGCATACCATTTGCAAAAGAAGACAACCCAAGGTATTGCAAATGGGGTATGTCCAGTCTTTTTTAGTAACCACTTGGTCACAAACACTGGCTAAAATTAGCATTCAATTTAGTTTTTTTACTTTTTTCACACACAAACAAATATGAATGCTTACTTTGGCCAGTGTTCTCGACTAAGTGGCTACTAAAAAAAGACTGGACATACCCCATATTGAATACCCTGGGTTGTCTACTTTAAAAAAAAATATGTACATGTGGGGTGTTATTCAGAGATTTATGACAGATAATAGTGTTACAATGTCACTATTGATAAATTTAAAAAAATTTATGTTTTGAAACCGCAATATTCTACTTGTACCTATAGCCCTATAACATGCAAAAAAAAAGCACGTAAACACAGGGTATTTTTAAACTCAGGACAAAATTTTGAATCTATTTAGCAGTTTTTTTATTCGCTTTTGTAGATGAGTAAAAGATTTTTCAAGTAAAAGTCAAAAAACATGTATTTTTTTCAATTTTTCATCATATTTTTTTATTTCTTTTAAATTAAAATACATGAGATTATATAAATAATGGTATGTAAAGAAAGCCCCTTTTGTCCTGAAAAAAACAATATATAATTTGTATGGGAACAGTAAATGAGAGAGCGGAAAATTCCAGCCAAACACAAACACCACAAAAGTGTAAAAATATGCCTGGTCGCAAATGTACAACATCGCAAAAACAGTCCAGTCCTTAAGGGGTTAATGGGTTAAGCCCAATCCAATACATTTCCAACTAAAATAGTATTTCTAAAATCGTCTATTTGCCTAAACCTGCAACTATGTTGGCAGCTTTTTTGCAGCTCACTGTTCAGTAACTAAGCTATGCAGAACATGAAAGTAATGTGAAAGTTATTTAATTAGTGTCCTACAGAGAACTGGAAAAGATCACACAATAACAGAGTTATTTACTAAACTCCAACTCTAGTTTTAAAATGTCTCCAAATCCGTTATTTCCATTCACAATTTACCATTCATTTTTCAATTTGCTACAATTCAGAGTTTTGTGAATAACTCTTCCAAATGAAAGCCACTGCACCAAACTATAATACTTTGATCAGTTAGTCCTCTCTGCTGCACACTGCTGCCCCATGTCATGGGAGTACTGCACAGTGGATGGACTGAACAACTGGTGCAAGGAAGGATTCATTTAGGATACTGAGCCAAATGTATGGAAGAGGTAACTAAGTGCAGAGTGAAAAAAAAAAAAATCAAAAGTAGCAGAATAAATGCATAAAACAGTAAAAGTGTGAGAAAATACAAAGTCAGTTCAAAGACAGAGAGCAATTAAGAGGCACACACTGTAGTGTTGGTTTACATCTTGAATTGTCTCCAGCCCCTTATACAACCTCCTTGGACTCCTATTTCTGCTCCTGTAAACAGACCCCCACATCCCAAATCTGGAGGAGGATTTAAATTCAGCATTTTGTGGAACTACTCACTACCTGTTTGTGCAGACACAGAGAAGGTTGGGAATAGAGTCTGTCAATCTGCTGGGAGACTCAGCCATGCCAGTCTGCCTCCCTGCACTGCTTCTCTTAGTTATCCTAACTTGGTCAGCCACCAATGGTAAGTAGATAACTGCAATCTCTAATGTAAGAGTTCGTCAACTACACACTATAGCAGGGAGTAGGCAATCTTTGGCACTCCAGGTGTTGTGGACTACATCTCCCAGAATGCTCTCACAGCCATAATGCTGTCAAAGGATCACGGGAGGTGTAGTCCACATCATCTGGAGTGCCAAGGGTTTCCTACCCCTGCACTATAGAATGGGAAATGATGTAAACTAATAATATATGCTTTTCTTTACAGTGTAAGTGATGATACAAGATATACAGTATTTTTGTTTAAAAAAACACAAAATAAAGTTTTATTGGGCAATGGTGGTTATGAACTTTCCTCGGTAGAGTTTGAAAGAGTTTAGCAATCACCTTGGAAACTAATGAAATAATGCTACTAATTCATCATTACACTAGTCTTTTGTAAACATACTTTTACATCTAATTCCCATAGAATCCACTTTCGTGTGGTCTACACAGCTTGTAATTTAATATTTTTGTGTGCAAAGCGGTGTAAGCAAATTATCTCAGATTCCTAATAAAATGGTCTAGATGGTTTGAGGTATGAGATTTTAGAAAGAATATAAATCCCAAAAGAATTGGCAACATAATCTGGTTTAAATAGGACTTTGAATTATAACATTTGTGAAAAATCCCCAACATCTCCACAAATAAAAAAAATAATAAAAAAAAACGTATTTACTTTGGGACAGTTTGATGTCTGCTAAAAAATTTGAAATATGAATATGGCTATTTGCAGGCAGATTCTGAGTTTTCAATTCACTTGCTATTTGCAAGAGAGCAATGTAGAAGAAAAACTGAAAAGCCAGCTGGCAACAAAATGCAAATAAAATAGAGCTAGGGTAAAAACAACTTAACACTATCCCAGCTCAGCTACTGTGACCTAACTTCTACAACTCCGTTATTAACTTCCAATGAATCTCTGCTTTTTTTTTTACATTTTTTGTTTGTTTTTTGAACCAGGTTTGGCAAACATTATACAGGCACGGTTAGCTCTTGAAACTAGGCTACAGATATGTAACAGAAAAATCTACTGATTCTTTGTAATAAACCATTTGAGTAAAATTGACAGGTAGAACACGTTCATGCTAAACCTTCCAAACTCTCTGTAGTTAGACAGGACGTTTTCTATTAGATTATTGCTGTCTGGAAATGCTCAGGGTTTCTCTCAAGCAGGAGCTAGGTTGACTTCCAACATTGATTGGTTGCCGTCTAGTTTGCAGACATCCGTTGTGAGCTATGGGTATGTGGCATTGGGACAATTGTGTTGTGGTGCTTGTGTTTAGCACCTCTAATCTCTAACCATTACCCTGCCTGCTCCGCCTCTATAACATCATCAGTACTAATGCAATCCAATGCTTTCCATTAAAAAAACTTTAGGACATTAGGGTACATGAGCAACCATAGCTTCACAATGCTACTCTTAGGGATACCAAGGCATCTTCACGAGAAGATCTCATCTGTAGCATAAAACGAAGAGCAGCCGAGAGGGTGCTATCCAGATGATTTAAGAAAGTACCAATTTCTCTTGAGATCAGCACTATTATAAAGAGAGAAAATAGGGACATGTGCATAAAGCATTTCAACAAGCTGAAGTGCATCTTTAAAATATGCATGGCATATAAGGCTCTACCAACAGAGTTTGTGTTATACTACAATACTTTAAAAAACCACTTGATTTATTTTTACATTTACACTGTTAATACGGATATGAAGATTACTTTAACTATGGACAACAATAACAACGTGTACATTGTTCCTTGCTAGACATGCACAGACAACATTAGCAAAGACATAAAACTAGCAAAGAAGCTGCATAAACTATGCAGCATAGGTATCTTTAATTTATTTCAATCCTTCTTTCCAGCATCAGTAATCTTAATTTGATGAGCTGGAGTTTGAGCACTATAAATCTTTTTATTTACTGTCACTACATTTAGAGGCATTACAAGTCAATATAAAAACTGGGGAAATAGGTCAATCCAATAAATAGTCGTAGTGAGTTGATTTGCAGAATGTAGGCTGAAATAGAAATATATTTAAAAAGTCACAACTTCAGATTGATTTGTAGAAATATCTACAATGTGGGTATCAGCTAAGTGCAAGTCACCTGCTAAACTGGCTAACAGTGCCATTCTGGCTTTAAAGGGTTACTCCAACCACCACTTCTTTTTGATGGTAAAGGAGTCTGAATGTGCAGTGTTTCAGCTTGCATATATAGAAACATTTTTAATTGTGTTCGGCAATTGTCTCCCTGTGGCACACCTTTACTATGCCTCTGCTTACAGGCAGCATTAAGGTAGTTGCGGAACTAAGAGAGGGTATGGTGCAAGATATTTCCCCCTACATATAGAGCTGGGGTGGCCAATAAGTAGATCCACAATTGTTATAAAACTCCAACGATGCTTTATCAGCTGGCGATCTACCATTTGTCTATCTTTAGATGGTTGTATTTTTGAACAGTGTCTGTGTATTGGAATGTAGGCATGTTTTTGTATGGAATCTGTGTAAATGCCAGTGTATATGAAGGGGTGCATTTGTGTGCAGTGCTTGCATGCTAGGCTGTTTTCACATATACAAAAAGACATACAGATATGCAAACACACAGATATACATTCACGCATATACACATTCACTGGCACATACAGATGCACTCACAGAAGATGGCTATTTCGGGGTTTGGTGATAGGAGTGGGCTCCATTCTGTCTCTACTCTCTGACTTTTCTGTCCCTGTGTTCCCCTGTAAAAACTGTAAACCAGCTCTACTGAGTTGTGTGAGTATAGAGCAGGTGTAAAGATTGGTTTTCTCCAGTTTGAATTACACTCATAAGGGTTCAAAATAATAAACTTTTATTGAGTTGAAAATATATCGCAAGAACATACACTCAATATTTCAGCCCCATTACCTTGATGTTCTGTGAAAAATCCAGTAATGAGACTCATATATATATATATATATATATATAATTCAAAAAGTTGCCTAGGTTCAAATCCTGCGTTGAATAAATATAGTTGAAAGAGAGAGCACTCAGAGGTCTTTTTCCAGGTGATACATGTATTCAATTTAAATAGTAGTACAACCTACATACCCTGTTTCCCCGAAAAAGCCCTAGCTTATTTTTGGGGGATGCTCGTTATAAAAGCCCTACACCGAAAATAAGCACTAGTCGCTAGTTCTCTAATCTATGTTCCGGACATTTTCCCACAAACATAGACTTACAGGGTTCCATACATGAGTAAGCTAATCTATGTTCTGGGAAGTTTTCCTTAACATAGTTTCGCAGAATTCCATTCTCGAGTGAACTAATCTATGTTCGGGAAAAAGAGACCTGCTTTCTAGCACATACTTGCTTTTCCCCGAAATAAGACATCCCCGGAAAATAAGCTCTACTGCATTTTTGGGGGGAATGATTAATATAAGACCTGGTCATATTTTTGGGAAAAGACTATAGTTTCACTGATTTGATCTTGAAAATATATAAAATTATATATTAATATGAAATTACACTTAGAATGAAATTATTATTTTCACAAAAATATAATGCCTGGGTGTAATACTGCATAAGATATATCAGAAAAAAAAAGTAGTAGCATCCCTTCTGGGTGCCTTCACGGACTGGAGGGGAGAAATGTGGCATCCAGCAGGGGAGGGAGAGGAGACCAGGGAGCTCTTGCTTGCAGCTCTGCTGGGTTACCATGGCAAAGCTCCATCGTCACAAGAGGGAACTCTTGCTCCATGGGCTACAGGCTAAAGTTCATTCCCCACAGGGACCACCAGAGCCTTTCCACCAGACCACCAGGGTTTCTTCCAGTGAAGCACATTACTATTATTTATATAGCACCATCAGATTCCGTAGCGCTGTACAATGGGTGGACTAACAGACATGCAATTGTAACCAGACAACTGGACGTACAGGAACAGAGAGGTGGAGGGCCTTGCTCAATGAGCTTACATTCTAGAGGGAGTGGGGTATAGTGACACAAAGGGTAAAAGTAGGGGTACAAAGTAGGTTGTCAGAAAGGTATTCACTGAGGGCTTAGTCATGGGGGTTTGGGATAAAAACAGTTTAACTGATATGCTTTCTTGAAGAAGTGAGTTTTCAATGATTTTTTGAATGAGTGGAGATTGGGTGAAAGTCTTACGGAGAAGGGAGTTCCACAGAAGAGGTATAGCCCTGGAGAAATCTTGGAGGTGAGCATCAGAGGTGGGAGTACAGACAGAGGATAGACGTACGTCTTTGGCAGAGCGTAGGGGCCTCGACGGGACATACTTGTGTATTAGGGAGGATAGGTAGGTTGGAACAGCATTTTATGTAGGGACTTGCAAGCAAGCACCAGAATTTTAAATTGAGCCCTGTATCTAACTGGAAGCCATTGCAGGGACTGACACAGGCGTGGGAGGTGCGAGCGGACAAGAAAATGAGCCTCGCCGCCGCATTCATTATAGATTGCAGCAGTGCAATCTGGGAACATGTAAGACCACTGAGAAGGGTATTGCAGTAGACAAGGCGGGAGAGAACAAGAGCATGGACCAGCACCTTAGCCGCATCCAGGATTAAATAGGGGCGGATGCATGTTATGTTTTTGAGATGGAAGCGACAGGATTTGGCAATTGATTGGACATGAGGTATGAAGGGAGGTTGGAGTCAAAAAGAACACCCAGGCAGCGAGCCTGCGAGGTAGAGGTGATGGTAGCACCATTGATTTGGAGGGAGACAGACATGGGAGTAGTAACACGTGAGGAAGGAAAGACCAGAAGTTCTGTTTTGGACAGGTTGAGTTTAAGGAAGGGAGCAGCCATCCAGTTGGAAATCGCATAGAAGCACTCATAGACACGAGTCAAGATGGGCGCAGAGAGATCAGGAGAGGACAGGTAGATTTGCATGTCACCTGCATAGAAATGATAACAGAAGCCAAAGGAGCTGATGAGTTTACCAATGGAGGCAGTATAGATAGAGAACAGTAGGGGGCCAAGGACAGAACCTTGGGGGATGCCGACAGAGAGTGGTTGGGGGGAAGAGGCAGAGTCAGAGAAAGAAACACTGGAAGGGCACTGGGAGAGGTAGGAGGAGCACCAGGAGAGATCAGTATCCCGTAGACCAAAATTATGGAGAATGGGAAGAAGCTGTTGATGATCAACAGTGTCAAAGGCAGCAGAAAGAGCAAGGAGAATTAGGAGAGGGTAATGGCCATGAGATTTAGCAGCAGTTAAATCGTTGGATACTTTGGTCACAGCCGTTTCGACAGAATGACCAGCATGGAATCCAGACAACCCTCTCGAGGATCTTGGAGGCAAATGGCAGTAGCGAGATAGGGCAGTAGTTGGATGGGGAGTTGGGGTCAAGGCTGGGCTTTTTCAGAATTGGGGTTACAGTTGCATGTTTGAAGGGTGAGGGAAATGTGCCAGAGGAAATGGAGAGATTGGAAATTTTAGTGAGAGGAAGAGCAGGAGACGGAGACTCTGTGTGTCTCTTAGCACCAGCACCTGTGTTTGTCTCTTTCTACCCTTCCACAGCCCCTCTGTGTTTCTCTTTTTCCCCTTCCCCAGCTCCTCTGTGTGTGTCTTTCTCCACTCATGCCCTCTATGTGTCTCTCTCCATCTCCAAGTCCCTTTGTGTTTCTTCCTCTCTTCCCCAGCCCTTTTTGTATGTGTCTCTTCCAGCCACCCACCTGTGTTGTGTCTGACCTCCCATCATATAGTGTGGCCTGAACCAACAGCAGAAGAGAATCTTCTGTATCCTCTACCCGACAGGAAGCTGTTTGTTGCTCTAAGCAAGCACTTCCTGTCAGACGGGGTAGAGTATACAGAAGATCCTATACCGCGGTCCACTCGGCAATGCTATATGATGTGACCGGCAGGAGGGGGTGTGGTGTGCTGTGCAGTGCACTCACCTAGTGCCGGTCACCCAGTGATTGCGCCTCTGGGTAGGTGCATCCTAGGCATTATGGTTGCGTCGGCCCAGCCCGAACTATAACTTAACATTAACCTAATGCTTACCCTAACATGGGGTATCAAAGCTCACACAGTACAGAGTGCTCTGTGGGTGTTCTCTACTGTGTAATTGCAGCTAAATATGTGCAATTATTTTGTCCTGAATTAAATTTTAAACAATTTGGTAATTCAGAAGTGTACAAATTCAAGAATCAACAGAAAGCGAAGATGAAACAAAAACTAACAGATCTGTAACAAATGTAATTGATTTGTTTCAGATATATTAATTTTGATAAGTATAGCAAATTTATAAAAGGGCTTTTCTTAATTTCGATCTTTCATCTGTTTAGCAAATAGTTCCCTTATTAATATCATTAAATATACAATCCCATGTAAGGATAGCAAATTAGGGAGCTATCTACTAAAAAGCTAAAAGATCAAAATTAAAAAAAAACTACTTTGAAACTTTGTGACTGCCAATTTCATTCATTCCTATAGGGCACATTGTAAATTTCAATTTGGTTCTTCCAGATCGATATTTTCTGAATTTTGGGCAAAACTAAATGTAAAAATTAACTAATTAAAATTAAACAAAACTATTTTTTCTCAAGTGCCCACCTGTAATTGCAGCAGCATGCTGTCCCTGTCTGTGGCAACGCCCAGTATAAATTAATATTAGCATGGGGGCATGCAGGAAGACCATATCTGGCTCTTTTCAGACCATTTCACTGTCTGGGAGCTGGATGAGCGCAATCACTCAGCCATAGTGATATAAACGGATATAAAAGGCTATATGCAATGCTCACTGTGTGCTGCATGCTGCTCATCTATTAGTCTGGGGCCAATCAGTATGACCCCAGCTGAAAGAGGTATCGATTGATCAACCCTGCTCACACCAAAACTGCAGGATTTTCTATGCCATCCTAACAGCGTTAATGCCTGTTATTTTCAATTGTTCCAAAGTGGCTCTTGCATTGGAGAAGGAAGGTGACTGATTGTGACTTAAACAAATGAGCTATTTCTAAACATCACTGGACTGTATTAATGCCAAAATCTATTGTCAATTTGTTGTATAAACTTACAAACAGGATGATGAAATTTCATAATGCTACATGAAAAAATGTTAGTAGATGCTAAGATCACCATAATCACTGCTCCATAGTGGTTATGGTGCCAGGTGTACCCTGGTGCCCCGTCATAGTAAGGACATCGTACCTGTGGTCTGCTGGTAACCTGTCCCTACCTCCCTGACATCTTAAGGAGAGTTGGAAGGTACTGAATGACTTATCTCCTTTAGAATATAGATTGGGATACAGCCTTGTATCTTGTTTTTTTGTTCATTCTGTAAAATACACTTATCTTACAATCTTCTCTTTTCCACCTACCCCATTCAGGTGTTACAGATTGGACATACTGGTTTAATGTAGACCACCCAGGAGGTGAAGGAGATTATGAGACAGTCGAGGCAGTTCGATTTTATTACCCAGATCATATGTGTTCAAGGCCAATTAACATTGAGGCAAGAACAGCAGAATGGGAAACACCTGAAGACACAAAAGAGGTGGTGCATTCAAACGCAGAAAAGGGCTTCTGGTGCATCAATAAGGAGCAACAAAGAGGCAGGAACTGCTCCAACTACATTGTCAGATTTCTGTGTCCTCCAGGTAAATGATTTGGAACACATGTGAAATGTCGCAACTTGTGTAAATTTAAATAGTATTTCACAAGTAGGTTATTATCTAAGTATACATTTAGTTTATCTCCTGCAAAATATTTTTTTACCGTTAATTACAGCAAACCTCTCAGTCTGCCCCAAACCTTTACAGTAGGATAGAGATTTTTATTGTTGGCATGCTGTGCCTTTTCTTTCTTCCATACATAGTGCCATGTGTTCCATCTAAACACTTCAACTCTGGTTTAATCTGTCCACAGAATATTTTGTCACTAGCACTGTAGAACAATGATGAACCACAAAACAATGTTTCTTTTTTTATTTAAATGGCTATAGTGCCTACAGTATCTCTCTATAAAGGACATTCTCAAGGTGAGAGTAGCTCTGCTTAAATGTTCATAATAGGGAGAGATCTTCAAAAGAAACTGGAGGCTTGCCTTTCACTGCAGCTAATAGATGTTACTCATCGTCAAGGGATTTCATACGTGGGAATAGCATCCAATACGCCAATCCATTGGAGGAAGTTTGGTCATCCTCTTCCAACAGAGAACAAAAATGATTCTCTGTTGTGGGAATAGTATAGAGGGGGTCCAATTCTTGATCCGCAGGCGAGGAGGAAGAACTCCTGACACGCGGGTGGAGATATTAGGCCTCTGATTCGAGAGCAGTAAGTCCCCAATATAATAGGTTTTCTCTTCCATACCCTGCTTTAGATTCTTAGATTGTTTCCCCATGAGTATAGATATTGAGTACAGCCCAAAAAGTAAAGTAAAATAGCCCTCAGTACTGCAAAGATCTCCAAATTGCTAACATAAAGCTCAGAGTTCTTGGTAAGTGCGTCTGATCACTGCGGCGGTTAGCTCTGCCCCCCCATTCTTGTATTTTTTTTTACTAGAGCAGGTCTAACTAACAACCCAATTTTGTCTAATCATTGAACTCCAGGTTGGCCGGTTCCATTCTCCAGTTTGCTTAGTCTAGGATTCTCATACTTTTTCCACTCTGCACTGTTAAGTTTTACAAAGTCAGCTCAATGAAGACATAAACGTAATTGTTTGTCTGTTATTTACTTAATCACGTTGTGTTTACCTATTGCTGTGATTTAGTTGACGATCAGATCAAATACTGTGACCAATGTAGGCAGAAAGCCACATAATTCAATTCATGGTTTATAGCCACTGTTTACATTTATGTGAGTGTACGTGGCATTTCAGTAAGAAATAGGTGGCGATTCCTGAGATCCTGGCAGACAGTTGAAAAATCAGTTTCTCGTATCCTCTACCAATGGTGACTATTAAAGTGAAAGTTATAGAGGCCTCTCTAAATAAGTCTTATATAACTGAGAATTAATATTTCATAATTGCCTTGATATATCATGAGATTACTTAGATGCTTCCAAGTCCCAGAAGATGTATATAGTCTGCAGGCAATAACACGCTTTGCGTTTTAATTTGTGTGGTGGGATGCACTAAGCAGTGACTCGTGCCCTCTTCTTATTTATTAATCAGTTTGTTAGTTCAATATCCTCAGTGAGACAACTATGTCTCAAAAGCTGGTTCTAATCCCCAATAGAAGAACCTTTCATGTGACTGCAGAACAGTGCCTTCTTCAATGCAAGACAAAATAAACTGCTTCATTGGGTTCTATAGTCTGCAGGATGCCCGCAGCAGCTACTCCTTGGGCATTGCATTCAAGTTTAAACAGTACACTAATGGAAGGGAGAAAGTATAGAATAGGGGGAAGGTTTGCATAGACTTTATAAATAATGGAGAGGTTTAAAGATGTATATGAGCGAAAGAGAGCAGTCTGAGAAGGGAATGGTGAGGTTGGGTGGCAGCCTGCGAAGGGATTAGACAGATTGGGTGCCAGTCTCTGAGACTATGGAGATTGAGTCTGCGATGAAATTATGAAGGTTAGGATCAATGTGTGGAACAATAAGAGAGATTAGGTTGTATAAAGGGAGTGTATGTTAGTAATAATCTCTTGTGTCTAGTCTGAATGCGTTGGAGGATTTACTCTTGCTGGTAACATTTAATTGTCTGTCCTCTATGGTCTATGTGGTGCTGGAGAGATTGTAGGATATGTTCTTGTCTTGTCTTTAAATTTGAGGGCTAATTGCAACCCCAGCACACTTCCTAATGTATATTCTGTGTATAAATTAGGTCTGGTGGCAAACAAAATTAGTCTTTACTTGAAGGCAGCACTGTGAGTGTGCCTGCAAGTAGAAGCCCTAAGAATATGCCTAAATTCACCTGCCTCCCTTCTTCCCTAGTGGCAGACTTTAACCCCTTAAGGACCAAACTTCTGGAATAAAGGGGAATCATGACGTATCACACGTCATGTGTCCTTAAGGGGTTAAAGAGCTCCCTGCCTCACTAACCATTATACTCTTAATAGCTCCACTACTTTGTCCCCTCCCCTTATTCAACCTCTACTACATCCAGTAGAATCCTTGATTATGCAAGATACACCATGCCTCTATGACTGCTTTGTTCTTAGTATGTCCACTGCTTGTTCCCTTCACTTTTCCATCTCCGTTCTACACTTCTATACTCTCCGGCAGGCCAGCCCTTCCTCCTACCCCTCAGATTGGCATATTTGTGTCACTTGTTATGCATGCGTCTACAGTACACCAATGCTTTTCCATGAGAAGCATTTGATTGAACCACAACCAGGAAGAAGATGAAGTGGAGTGACAAGGAAGGAAGCATGGAAATAATTGGGGATTTTCAGCTCCCAGCTTTGGATTCCAATTAAGTTGTTATTTTTTCCCACAGGTTATTTGGGCAAAAAACATAGGGTGGAGGAAAGACCTTAAAGAGATATAGATAGATAGATTGCTGCTGCTGTTCTAATACAACTCTGCTAAACAGCTCTGTTAACAGTGTAAGTGACTGTGTTATAATATTCACTATGTGAGAGTGACATTGTGCAGTTCTGCCACTTGACATTTTATGAAAAACTGTACTGATTTCATGTTGGAATTTTGATCAAACTCTATCACAATCAAAATATATCACAAGACAAAATGAAAAAAAAAATAATGATCTTGCAAAGCATCAGCCATGACTACAAAGCTGCTGGGAACAGACATCGTATAGAATATATATAATCTACAGATGATCATGCAGTATCACTGGATTTTCCACAGACCCTCATTTTTTTTTTTTTGGGGTGGGGGGGGAAGCTTGCCTAGTGCCACTGTAAAGGGACACTATACTCACCACAACAATTTTAGCTCACTGAAGCAGTTTTGTTGCATAGATCATACTCTTGCAGTCTCACTGTAACGATAACTTACCTTTCCCCGCCGGACCCGCGCAGCGCGGCGTCCTCTTCCAATACTTCCGGGAGACTGCTCAGTCTTTCTGACACCGGCCCATTTTTATGCGCGCCGACGTCAGCAAAATAGTGCCGCCAAAATTCAAACGTGGCCACGCTCCCTGACCTTTTGGGGGCATGGTTTTAAAGCAAAAGATCCCACACTATAAAAAGGCAACCATGGCATTTGTTAGGCGTCCTAGTGTGGTTCTTGTTTGAGTCCTCTAGCGCTCTTTATATTCTGATTGTCTTTTTGGTATCTTACTCTTGACTTCCACTCTGTCTATTCTGTTCTCTGGTTTCCCCATTAATTTTGGCTTGGATTATCGTGTGCCCATCTTCTGTATTCCCTTGACCTCTGGCTATTCCTTTGACTACTCTCAGACGCAAGTCCGGCCACTCTAAGGTCCGGTAAACGTCTTCCTCTGGCTTTCACTCTGTGTGAAGGGGTCACTGTCATGACACTCACTGCTCAATTCTCATCTATTTAAGAGTTAAATCAATTTGTTTATGCAGCTCCAGTCACACCTCCCTGCATGTGACTTACACAGACTTCCTAAACACTTCCTGTAAAGAGTCATCTAATATTTACACTTTTATTGCAAATTTTGTTTAATTTAGAATGTATTATCTCCTACTCTGTTAATACCTTGCTAGACCTGGCAGAAGCCTCCTGTAGGTAATTCAAGTTTAAATTTAGAGAGCAGGAGATACAAACTTTTAAAGTAGGTAACATCTGATTGAAATTAAAACCATTCTCTCCATCCTCTCTCTTTTCTCTTCTTTCTTCTTTTCCTTGTACGTATAGCGGACCTAACATACTAAACGTACCTAATAGTGTTTATCCACCTTTCCTGTCCCTTTAGCCATAGCTGACACTCCTAGCACAATATTTCACTCTTCCTTCGTGCGCATAGATTACAGGAAGCGTTGGCAATGTATGCCTCGGACTCATGCTAGGGGCTATTCTTTAGGGTACACAGATTGGAGGTATCCACACCACACCCATGCTGGATGGATATAATCCCATGCCACCTTTTAGGGGTATAATCCATGTGAAAGACAGAACGGGGAGACAAGAGGAGAGAATTGGCTGAGAGGCACAGACTACTCCCATGACCTATACAGCACTGGGACTACCGGAAAATGAAACAAAAATACATGGCAAAATGGCATGGGGAACCCTAAGATGAAGGGACCGGGCACCTTAGCTAGACTATGGAATTATAATACCTCTATACTTCAATTACCTTCCAAAGGCAGCGCAGTGGGCCTCAGAGAACGTGATAATTTGTGGTTATGCGTTAGAGCTCCTTTCACTGACGTACAAATGTAAACTGTGACCCAGAAACCATTATGTACATTTTGCAAGGTGAAAGCTGCTTGAGGGATGTACTTACTCGAATTTATGTACCATACCATTGTTATTCAAATGCTTACCTATTTCTTATTTCTGTATCTCTAATTAATTACTCTTGGAAAAGAACGAACCAATAAACAAAGATTGACAAAAAAAGAAATTGAAACCATTTTGTTTTCATGCAGGCTGTGTCAGTCTCAGCCAGGGGAGGTGTGGCTAGGGCTGCATAAACAGAAACAATAGTGATTTGACTCCTAAATGGCAGAGAATTGAGCAGTGAAATTTCAGGTGCATGATCTATACACAAAAACTGCCTACATTTCACATAAAGCATTGATTTAATATTTTTGGATAAGCTTTTTAAAATTTGATATTTTTTGGATACATTTTTAAAATGATTTATCAAAATAATAAAATATCAAATAAAGCATACATAAAAAATATCAATATATTAAAATATTTTTTTATAATATTGAATAATTTGAAAATGCTTGTCCACAAAATATTAAACTGAAGCCTAAATTGGACCAGCTGTAAATGATATTTATATTATTAGAGGGGGAAGTAAAAACTTTTCTGGGTTTTTCTGAGTTTGTACACTGCTGATGATGACCTTTTTTAATCACCACATAGAAGGAAAATGGTCATCTTGGGGATCCTGGACCCCCTGCACTAAGACCTGTGGTGGAGGTATAAGAACCAGACATCGGACATGTACCAACATGAAAACGCCCTGCGTTGGCCGGCCATTCCAAGTTTGGAAGTGTCAAAAGAACCCATGCAAACGTAAGGATCGTCTGATCTAACCCAAATACTTTGCTCTGAATGAGATAAGAAACACATTTATAAGGCCTAATAAATTAAACATCACAGGCTGCCTACATGTATGCTGTACAATCACATCTATATAGTATTTCCACTTCATCTTTAAATTACAGTATTTTTAATTTATCAACCAGTGTGTCTAAAACCTCCATAAAGCTACTGCTATCCAGTTAAAACTCCCCATTACACTCCAACAATTATGATCAAGGTTTTTTTCTCTTGTTGCTGTTTCGCATACCATGTTCTTTATTTGCAATCCCTTTGTTTACTGTGTTCCACTGATTTACCTTGTGTAACTTATATTAAATGCCCTCTCGAGAAATGTGGCCACAGCAAAGCTGTCAAATCATGGGTTGGCAAAACATTACAGGAAATACTGCAAGTGATGGTCAGGGTTTGATACACCTTAGTTAGAGTTTGAAGGCAGTTATCAGTCATTTGGATGCTTAATGTTGCATTCTACTTGTTCCATATCTTTAAAGTGGTTGACTATTAAAAAAACATGCTGTTATATCCTTGAACATCATTTTGTTGATTAGAAATTGAACTTATACACAGTATTTTTTTTTTTTTCTTGCTTTATAACTTGCCACTGGCAATGCAGTCTGCGGCCACACTATGGTGGGAAAAGTACTTGATACCCAAGGGTTCGTCCTACACAAAGCCAAGGTAGCCCTGAAAGACAAACTTCTGGGGTTTACAGATCTACATGGCAACTTCAAAATGCCTAACCTGTGCCTAGAAGGTGCTGTAAATGTCACCGTAGCTTTGAATGGCTTCTCTTCTGAGACCTTGCAGACCATGAAGAATGACTCAAACATCTATTTTGAAGCTATTTTAAAGAGAAAAGGTAAGAAAAGCAATTCTGTAAACTGTAATGAATTGTTAACCAAATTGCAGAATTTAGGCTAAAATAGTAAAGTGACTATACAAACAGAAACACTTGACACTCACCCTTACAATATATAGGTACTGCTTGCCTTGGTTAATATGTAGATTTGTCAAAGAAGGGTGCACTCACAGATCTCTTCTGTGTATAAACAAAATAATGTGATTCATTCCAAAGTCTTTACATTGCAAAAAACTACTTGATCGATGTTTTGTATGGTCACGTGACGTGGAATAACGTGATAACTTGGTTGCCAGGCAACCCGTGTATACAGTGGATCGTGCATCCAAACTCACTGAAATCAGAGTTAATACTATTCATGGAGGACACAGACAAATGGTATTGTCAAGATATAAAGAGATCTGCTGGAAAGCTGACCAGGAGAGAGCACATAAGGGAAAAATAGGGGTGATAAAATAGGAGTGAATCAACTATGTGCATATAAATTTGGAAGTGCACATGTGTAAAAAACATAGTGAAAAAGAAAAAAAGCAATGTTTTCAGAATCACTGGTCCAGCAGACAAGAATAATCATAATAAAGTAATACAATCATATAGCTGTTATTGTGAAAAATATTCGGTTGGTTCTAATCATAATGGTTTTCATATCTAGAAATATATTAATAGCACGAAAGCAGAATCATAATGAATCATTAAAAAATATCTGATACATGAGACTTCTTTATAGGGTCAAAAACATATCATGAGTCATAAGCAACTAATTAATCCAAAAGTGTCAGGATCCCATCCTGACAACCAAACATATTTTCTGCTGCTTTATTTACTCCAATACCTGTTTTCCACCGCTAGTGGCCTCCCTAACCACTAGTCTAAGCTCAGTCTCTCACACCTGCCTAAGATCATATGAATTGTGCTACAAGAGGCCAAACCCTACTTACCAAAGGCCTTTACATTGATGGTTGTTTATGACATCTGTTCCTGGCTCATTCTGATACAGGAGAACCTGCTTAAATCTGATTATCTTTGATCCATCCTGATTTATCCAAACAACCTGCTCTATTTCAGACTGGACTTTGTTTCCTAATTATTCCCAACCTCCCAACAAAACAGACTAATCATCTAAACTTAGAACTAGGGAATTGTCTGATTTCCCACTTATATTGCTACAAAAAATCAAACAAAATCATTAGGATTTTTACAAAAATATAGAGCACGGGTAGGCAACCTACGGCACTAGTGCCATGCACGGCACTCAGGGTGCCTTTGCACGGGACTCAAGGCTGCTAGAGACAAACAGGCTCTGGCCTATCAGGAGTCCCAGTGAAACTTCAGATATCTGCTAATACAAAAAGGTGGTGAAGGACAATCCTCAATTTATGCATTGCAGCACGTAGAGGAAGTGATCTGAGATAACTATCTCATATCACTTCCTCCCCAGCACTTGTAAATGGGAATCCACACTGTAGTAGAGCAGCCTGCAGCTGCTGTTGCAGCTCCTGTCCTTGACCTGTGCCTGGCCCCCACTGGAACCCAGGGAAGCCACTCACACTGCTAGACATACACAGAAATGCACAATAACCCTCCCCTCATAAAATAATACCAACAGCCCACAAACAAACATGCACACATTCCGCACAAACGTAACCCGCTAACAATCCACATACATGCACACAACTCCACATGCAGCCTCTCACATGCAATACCCCAAACATCCCCCACACATACACACACTACTAAACACACAATGTGACTTATCCATCCACACACACACACAATTCCACAAGCAGCCCCCATACACAGCCCACATTCATATGTATCATACACGATACCACAAACTACTCCTGAACATATACAATATAATAGCTCATATACGCACAAATCTAAAGATACAAAGCAATTACAGTATAAACAACACAAGCAGAAAACGGCAGCATACAGACCTTAATTTAAAAAAATAGGACCGGCACGCTACGGGACATCACAAACCTATATCGGCACAGTGCTGCTAAAAGGTTGCATACCCCTAATATAGAGTATACAATATCTCATTCAGTCCCTTAGGGGCCACTGTGCAAAGCATATTGGACTATTCAAATGGATACAGTGGCCCCTAAGGGACTGAACGAGAATATCGTATACTCTATATATTTGTAAATATTCTAATGATTTTTTATTTTATTTTATTTTTTATAGCAATATACCGGTAAGTGGCAAATAGAACCATTTCCCCCCCTTATGGGATCAAAAATGTTTTTCTATAGATTAAGCCTTATGGATTAATTAGTTCCTTACAAATCATGATGTTTTTGACCCTATAAGAAGTCTCATGTATCAGATATTTTTTATGATTCATTACGATTCTGCTTTCATGCTATTAAGATATGAAAACCATTATGACTAGAACCAACAGAATATTTTTCGCAATAATAGCTATATGATTGTATTCCTTTATTATGATTATTCTGGTCTGCTGGACCAGGGATTCTGACCACCCTTTTTCTTTTTCACTATGTTTTTTTACACATTTGCACGTCCACATTTATATGCACATAGTTCGTTCACTCCTATTTTATCACCCCTATTTTTCACTTATGTGCTCGCTCTCCTGGTCCGCTTTCCAGTAGATTTTTTTTTTTTTTTTTATATCTTGACAATACTATATGTCTATGTGCTCCATGAATAGTATTAACTCTAATTTTAGTGATTTGGATGCATGATCCACTGTATACACGGGTTGCTTGGTAACCACATTATCACGTCATTTAAAGTTATCCATGTCACGTGACCCTACGGGCGCACTTCTGGGTTGTACACTGATCGGAAGGGGAGAACTGCACACTTCATTGGTGAGTACACTTTCTTATATAAATCTTCAGTCACTTGGTATTTTGATCTTGAGAAAGACGCTAAGGCGTCGACACGTCAATTGAGCAGTTTTTTGCAATGCAAAAACTTTGGAATAAATCACAATATTTTTTATACACGGAAGAGACCTGTGAGTGCAGCCTTCTTTGACAAATTATATATATATATATATCTATATCTATATCTATCACATATTTAACAACATCTCACCCTCCTCCACAAACACTACAGCCCACAATCCCATGATTCACTCCCAGTACACACACTGTATTCCCAGCACAGGCATACACACACACACACTACTCTCTATACTCCGTGCATTCCCTACACATACTACATCCCTTATCTCATACTACATCTGCTACACACATACTGCTTCACCAGCAAACACAAACTGCATCACTTACACACATACTACATCTCCTACATATACACACAGACACTGCATCCATACACACACACTTTCTCTGTAGGCACTAGATACACCTACTACACTGACAGATCGATTTACACATGACTGTGGAGTTCTGTGATACACTACTATGCATATTACTGTAAATGTGTGTCTGTGTCTGCGTGCTCATGCCTGTGTGTGCTTCTGTCTAACTATCTGTGCCTGTTTATGCCTGTCCATGTGTGTGTTTGTGCATGTCTGTGACTGCCTGTGTGTGCAAATAACTGTGAGTGTGCCTTGCACATGTGGAGGGATAGGGTAGTAGTTTGTGGAAAGGCCAGGGGTAGAGCTATAGGAAGGGGTCAGCAAATTATTTTCGGGCTCAACCCCCAGGTGTTTTTTGATCCTAGCAATGCCCCAGGGGTAATATTTTTGCTATCTTGTATTATGAAATATGGGGAGAAGGAGTAAACAATATTTAAAAGGAGATTTATCCAACAATGAAAGGAAAGAGTAAGTGGGCAACTGGCCACTAACTTACCCATTCCACCCTGACAAGAACAAAGCTTTCCCACACATCCAGGCAGATGAAGATGCAGGTGGGTTTGCATTTATGGCAGTGGAAGCTGTTACAACAGTAGCTTGTACACTTGGTGCATTAATGCTGATAGAAATGGTGTTGATGCCAATACAGTTGATTTTGATTGTGGTAGTGGTGCAGCTGGTGAGTGAAACATTTACAGTGTTAGCACGTGCAGCTAATGCCACAACGGTAAAGCAGACTGAGATGGACTTGGAGAAGATGGAGGAGGCCAGTGCACACTAATTTCTAGAGCAGGGGTAGGCAACCTTTTAGCAGCACTGTGCCGATATAGGATTGTGATGTCCCGTAGCATGTCGGTCCTATTTTTTTAAATTGAGATATGTATGCTGCCGTATTCTGCTTGTTATTGTTACTGCAGTTGCTTTGTATTGTTGTATTTGTGTGTATATGTTCATTAGTAGTTTATGGTATCGTGTATGATACATATGAATGTGGGCTATGTATGAGGGCTGCTTGTGGAATTGTGTGGATGGCTATGTCACATTGTGTGTGTGTGTGGGGGCTGTTTGGGGTATTGCATGTGAGAGGCTGCATGTGGGGTTGTGTGCATGTATGTGGATTGTTAGCGGGTTACGTTTGTGCGGATTGTGTGTGTTTGTTTGTGGGCTGTTCGTATTATATGTATGAGGGAGGGTTATTTTGCAGGTCTGTGTATATCTAGCAGCGTGGGTGGCTTCCCTGGGTTCCAGTGGGGACCAGGCTGCCCAGGTACAGGTCAAGGATAGGAGCTGCAACAGCAGCTGCGGGCTGCTTTACTACGGTGTGGATTCCCATTCACAAGTGCTGGGGGGAAGTGATCTCAGATCACTTCCTTTATGTGATGCAATGCTTAAATGGAGGATTGTCCTTCACCACCTCTTCGTATTAGCAGATATCTGAAGTTTTACTGGGACCCCTGATAGACCAGAGCCTGTTTGGCTCTAGCAGCCTTGAGTGCCGTGCAAAGACACATCGAGTGCCGTGCATGGCACTAGTGCCATAGGTTGCCTACCCCTGTTCTAGAGGTTGCTTTCTGTTCCCTGCACACTCTCCTCTTCTAACTCCTCTAGCTCTTCACACTGGTAGTCGAGTAGCTCCTGGACCAGAGGTTAACATGTATATCTACAGTATTGGGGGAAACCGAATGCTCATCAATGGATTCATTACATCCACTACCCCCTACAAATACTGGGGACATGTTGGTACTCCATGCTAAGTTCCCACTAAAATGTAGCTCTGATGACCTTCACAAAGTAGACTCTGCTGTGCTTTCCTTTAATTGCTACTTGGCAGGGTCTTGACAGTAGTGCTGGTGGTGACAGTAGTGTTGGAGGTAGTAGTGGTGGAAGTGTAAGCAGTCCCTATGGCTGGGGTGTTCAAACACTCATAAGCTATCACATTACTGCTGGTAGACAGAGGAATAGGACCCCTACATCCCTCCGTTTAGTCTTATGATTACTATACACACATGTAATACAAAATATGCTTACATTCAATACAACTTTCAAGGATGGATAAAAAGTAGATCCAAAGCATTGTTGGAGTTGAAAGATAGATGAAGATCTATCTTTTAGACAACCTAAAGGGGGCCTCCAAAAAAACCTGTACCAGGGCCCTCTCTACTTTATTCCACCACTAAACGCAAGGTAAAAATTGAATTGGAAGGCTCATATTTCTTCTGTGGCTCATATGGAATTTAATCCACAGTGTAGTATGTGCCTGGCTTATGTATTTAAGATCATTTCCCCTATATATGGAAATTTGCATATATTCCCAGCGTGAAATGCAACTGATAGACATATATATGAGAAGAAGAAACATTTATGTCAGCTCTATGCAAAGTGATGTTTACGACAATATCCTGCTATTAATTCAGCTCCAGAATCTAAATAAGTTAGAACAGAACATGAGAGTGATGGAATTCTAATCAATCCCTGTGCAAGAGAATGTAGAAATTTCAAGAACAGCTTGTGATACCGCAGAGCAAATTATCTCTAAGTCGAGGTGATGCCAAGTGACACACTCCATCTAAAAAAAATTAAATACTTTTTTTTGTTTCATGATTGAAAGCATAACCTTGTCAGCTGTCAGCTTACAATCCAACGTGTGTCATTATTACTTATAAAACTCAATAGAATGAACGATCACAGGTTATTTCATTTATATTTGTATACCCTGGATGGGTCACTGTATCTGAACAGTTGCATCGTCCGTGTACCCAGGGATAAACTGATTAGTCTCTTAAGTGTCAGTACAATTTGATATGACTTTGTAGAATCAACTAATAAATATTCCAGTTTATTTGGGGAAATCCTGCTCTCAATGACTAGTATCTTGCAGTTCAATCTTAAAGTGTATCAGTCTTGTATGTATGTATGTAAAATAAATCTTGGCTATTAGCTACGAAGATATGTAATGTCCAACTGACTTGGATTCAGTGGTGGAACTAATGTAGAGGGCCCTGGGGTTTTTGCCCCCTCCACCCCCCCAACTTCCACGATGCTATGCCAGCTATAGCATTTTCCTATCCTTGCAGGGTTTTATTTGTGAGCAGTGTTTGTGCGTTTGCATCTAAAAATATTTTTATATAGAGTATATATGTGCATGTTATTTGTTTGTAGTGTTGCCAAGCATGTTTTGTGTTCAATATCAGTGTAAATGCCTGTGTATGGATTCTGTACATGTGAATTTATCACGGATTTATCATCACCAGTGTCCAATATTTTTGTTTTAACAAATAATCAAGTATTTATACATTTATAATGCACATGGAACTAATAAAAAATAGTGTCCTCATAATAATAATGAAACTAAAGGGATAACAAGTGGGAAAGGTAAGAAAAAAACTTCTAAAAGGAAATCAGCATTTTTCCCGTTAAACCATCCATGCATGAGGGGAAGTTCCACAAGCCAGAATTAAACTGTGTAATGGTCCTGAATAAATTTACTTTAATGATGATCTATGTCCTTATAAGAGCTCTATAATGTTGCTGCTTTCAAATCAACTTAGTGCTTGTATAGCACCATTTATAGTGGATAGTCATTAAAGCTATGGGTACCACAATGTAATTTCACAACTTTAATGTTTAAGTCTTTTAAACATATTTTTACAGTCAACAGCAGCTTGAATGCTTGCTGGGAATGATAGGATTTACAATCAAGTACCTTTAGAACATATTTAACTCATAGCTGTAAGAACTTCAGTGGCATGTAAGATAATTGGCATTGTGATTGACAAGCTAAGCACTTTTTTTTTTCCAATTATGTTGCTTTTATACATTTGGATGTTATTATATATCAGAAAAGTAACAAAAATAGAACATGAATAGAAAGAACTCTACTCACTATTGTTTAACGCATCTTAAAAGCAACAGTTTAAATTAATTGCATTGAAGAAAAAGTTCTCAATAGTAGTATTAACTGGTCATGTAGAATATATCCCCAGGCATCCTACTAAATATGTCCCACAGTGAAGCAAAAATATTGTTTTGTTTAAAAAACAAACCAAAAAAACAGACTGTTGACTTGATAACTGCTTAGAGTTATTAAAGAGACACTGTAGGCACAGTAACTGCTTTCTCATATAAATGGCTAGAGTGTTTGGAGTCCCTTGACACCATTCTCCCATTCGGTGTTAAACCATTTTTTGTGTTTTTATGCAATTCGAGAGTCTTCAGCTCATCCTTCTGTGCTGTTTGGGATAATGAGGACACATTAGCCTTAGCAGGGATGAACAGCTGTAATTGGCTGAGAGTGTCAGCTGACCACTTTCATTTCAGCACAGCACCCATTGTGGGTATGAATCATTATGGATAGAAGGAAGTGTATAATATCTGCCTCAGCCACACCTCAAGATACTGGAACCAATTCAGTGAACTGGTTATAGTGTCTACAGTGTCCCTTTAATGAGGTTGGCAAAAATAAAACAAACACACATATTCCCTGTGTTTTTATAGAACACTTGGCTATCAAGCGTGAGTGATTACAATCACTTTGGAAAAGTGTTATAGACAGATCACCTGAGACATTTTTATCCTCTCAAAACCAAAAGCAAAAATAACTTGACAACAAGTTAACAAATACCAGAAAGCTTATAAATCTTGATAGTGTGCATGTACAAATCAAAAACGACATGCATCTTGCCATAATACGAGCAAATAAAAAAATAATTACATTTTAATTAAAGCAAATAAAGTACAAATATGCACTTACACTATTATTGAAGCTGATAGCACAATACACACACATCTCCACAACTAGTGTACAGCAACTTTTGAAACCCCTCAAACCGTGAACCTTACCAATCACAGCCAGACTATTGCTGGACTTTTCCCAATCTGGCAATAGCCTCTCCCGAGCTATCTGATTGCTGTGGTTTGAGTTACTTACAGTTACTTGCAACAGGCATCCAGTGATGGACTAAGAGTATCAGTTGATCACCAGCACCCAAGGCAAAAACTTCCTGATCACTATAGTCATCAGACATATAATAAAGTATTTATAATGCACAGGGAACTGATAAAGAATAGTGTCTTCATAATAATAATAGTGAAACACTAAATATGTATATGTCTGACAGGAGGCAGTGCAGACAAACCTGGGGGGACAGTTTTGGGATTAAACCATTTGAAAATAGTTCGACCTCCTAAGGTAAGACTGTGTTAAGGGACTCAAGCCCCCATAAAGATTTAATTGATATTAAATTGTTATGGTGGCTAGAGTCCAGTCAGAGTATTGTAGAATATTAGATATTCTATATTTCTTTTCATATTCATTAGATATGTATGTCCAATTGGTTAAACAGAGCAGATAGAAATTTGCTATACTGTACCATATAGTCTGGAATGTGGTGTATAATGAGAGGGTTGCGGGTACTCACATGTCCTTATATGGCCAGAGTTGTATTTAAAGTTCTGACATCATTATAGTCTATAAAAGAACAGTAGACAAAGGACCATGCTCTACTACTACTCTTCGGTTGTGCCCATGACATTCTGGACAAAGACAATAACTTTCCATCGAAGATCCCTCTCGCTCTGTAACATTAAGCTTTACTATCTTTTACGTTTTTACTTATGTATTGTTGTTTGCATTGGGATTAGAATAAATGTATATTTTTATAAAGATCGTCGGGTTGCGCATTAGTATTTTTGGGTGATATAGAACTAAAGAACGGCACGCCATTAATACAAGGATATATATATATATATATATATATATATATATATATGACTTATTCCAATCACCCTTAACATATACATGTTTATTACACCCATCAAAAATCAAGATGACTTTTCAATCATATTTTGTTGTAGTTATGCATTATGACATTACCATCCCTTGCTCCCATCAACTCCTACTAATACCATCCCACAGTGAGCATACAGGTGTCGGATTTTCCATTCTGTGTTTGCTTGCAAATGAGAAGGTATTTCATTCTGGTGTGGTGTTTCTTGCTTTAACATACCTGAAATATGTTTTAGGTACTTGATCTGCTATTACATATTTTTCATGTAATATTTCTCAAATCATTGTTTGCACTCCTAATATACAATATCTCTGCTGCTATGCTAGGAGCTCCATATAATTAAATAATGCTATCTAAAATGAGCTGTATGTTTATGGTACTTTCTATACTCTGCTTTTCACAGAAAAGCCATATATGGTGGAACATCCATACTCCAAGATCCGGAGGGAAGGACATAAGGTGACACTCTGCTGTGAGGCCACTGGGAATCCAGTCCCCACCAAGTATTACTGGTAATAATAAAAGGCTTCTGGGAAAGAAGAAAAAGTTGCATATTCACCAGGCAGCCTCCCCAATGTGATATATACATCACATGTATAACAGCATTTCATTTTAAATGTTAAAGGAAATATTCACTTGGACATAAAATGGTGCTTTCTCAATCCATATGGAATATGAAGGGCCTGTTCTTTGAAGAGCAAAATAATCTGAACCACATGTGCCTATAAAATCAGTTAGTAGTTAACTTTGACTGTTTTACTATGCAATGAAGTATAAATTGAACTTGCTGATGTTAAGGGAACAAATCTGACAGTAATCTTTTCTGATACACGCAGTGCAATCAGCAAATTTTCCTGCAAATAGAAATTGTCTACAGTTTGTAGCTATTAAACCGGCATGTGTAGCTACTCCATTCTGATAAACAGAAACGTCAAGTCCTTTAACAGTCAATTATTTCTCACATTGTAGCCTTGCTGACCTTAATGGACTATTATTAGAATTAGAACAAGATAATGAAAGCTTGAAGGAACACTACAGCGTTTTAGTTTCTGCAAAATTACAATGTTTTACATTACAGGGTTAAAACTATAGGGCCAACTGTACTAAGACCACTTCACCGAGATGCCATTAGTGGTCCTTTAACAAATGGCAAGAAAACCAACATGATCAGGTGCAAAGCGAAGTCATGTCTGATTTGTATTACTTAATGGGTCAAAGACTTGGTAAACGGATCCTGACGTTCACATTAGTGACAACAATGTTGTCATGTTCTGAAAAAAGTTATTAAAAGTTATTCTGTGATTTCCTACAAAGACTATCATTTCTCAGTTTCTATTGTCGTGTTACTTCTTTATAAAAGCCATTAATGGGTCAATGCTATGGTGCATTCAGCAGCTACAGCTACCCAACTGAAGTTACAGGGTAACAGTTGTTTCCATATTCTCTGCTGGAGAATCACAAGAGGTTTATGTACAATCTGGCATAGACATCTTTACTACTTTGCTGGATCTGAAGGCATGAGGAAATTCTGACCAGGAAGAGAGGACAAATGAAGAGCTGACAGGGCAGGAAGGAAACATACCAGTGATTCTGTGTAAGGTCTGTAATACATTTACAAATAAAGATTTGTAAAGTTGGTCTGAGAAAAGTCACCATTTACCAATCTGTTGACACTAGATTCACACAGTGGTGTATCCTGGTTTTGTGCTGCCCTAGGCATCACAAAACTCAGGCACCCCCTCATAGCCCCCCTCCGCCCCACCTTCTAAATACACATACTCACTGACAGACACATATACACTCCGTGTCAGACACACACATTCACTGACAGACACACATACACTAGCTAACAGACATACATACTCACTGACAGACACACATACACACTCTCTAAGAGACACACACTAACAGACACACACATAGTAACACTCACATTTTTTTTAAAAAAATGTTTAAAAATGCAATCGCCCCAGCCTCCCTACCTTTGGTAATTCTGGGGTGGATTCTCGTTTTCCTTGGGGTCCAGTCAGTAAGTGCAGTCGGCAAGGGAGCACTAATCCTCCTGTTCAGCTCCCTCGCACACTGCATAGTGATGCCGGTGCCGTAATGACGTTATATTCCGGCTCCAGCATCACCGTGTTGAGCGCAATGGAGCTGAACAGGAGGATTAGTGCTCCCTCGGCGCCCGCCCGGAAAGCTCCGCTGCTGCCAGCCTGGGGGCCGTAAGGTGGCCACCAGGCCAGCTCCTGGGCCCTCCAGGACAAGAGGCTGGCAAGGCATTTGCCAGGGCGATTGGGGGGCGGCTTTTCTCACTGCCCCCCAGAAAGTGCCACCCAAGGCAAATGCTTTGTTTGCCTCGGGGGAAATACGCCCCTAGATTCACACACACACAAGTTCATGCTCACAGATTAACACACACTCACAGATCCACACACACAAATTTACATGCTCCAATACTCACAGATTAAACACACACAGATTAAACATAATCACATATTCAGACACAGATTCAACCAGACACCCACCCTCTTACAATAAATATTAAAGTGCATGTTACTTTTAGCCACCCTAATATTTTGCCTAGTATATTGCTGCAGTAGGGTGGCTTTCGTTCAGTCCAGAGATGATCAAGCTGTGCATGCATCTAATGCAGCATCTCCTTCCTGTGTGACTTTTGGAGAGCACTGGGAAGAAGTGATATGATGTGACATCACTTCATCCAAGCATTGCTGAGTAGTAGGCTCTCCCCCAGTGGTCCTATTTTTGGCATGGGCCTGCCATTGGAGCTCCATCAGCCTGCCTCCATTAATCGAGCCCTGACAGTACACCAGCATCAGAGAAAGTCTGTTTCTGGTGCCAGCAGGGTGCTCCATCAGATCTGCGCCCAATGGTGGCTACCCCCTCTTATCCCCCCTCACTATGCCTCTGAAGATCATTTCTAGTCAGCCAATCACAATGAGGCTTAAATGTGGCTGACTAAGTGGAGAGAGAGAAAATAGCATTCACTCACTCTTTTAGTTCATAAAGGTTCTGTGGAATGCAAACGTATTTTTTAAAAGTATGTGTTTATTATGATATATATTATGATATATATTACGGCATACCATGTTATTAATCACTAACTTAATTAGTAATCAAGAAGTAGAGTTACACAGACATCACAATGTAGGGTGAAGGCAAAAAAATATTTATTGGAGATCAAAAAGGACAAAAAAAAAAAAATACAACGTTTCATCCTAGAGGCAATACTCATGACACATGACAAAGGCTTCTAGGCCGAAACGTTGTATAATTTTTTTGTCCTTTTTGATCTCCAATAACTATTTTTTTGCCTTCACCCTACATTGTGACGCTTGTTCTCCACAGAGCTCCTACGTAAACATACTTGTGTGCAGCACTCCTTTGACTTTATGCATTAATTAGTAACCACTAATATAATAAGTACCTTTTTATAGATTCTCTTTATCAGGTTTCTGTTTTTCACATCCATCTGCTTTATTCATGTAGGTATCACAATGGCACGTTGCTGGATAGAAACGTATTCAAATATGACAAAAGCTTAACTCTTCGCAGTCTTAAAGCAGCCCAGGCTGGGGCATACCATTGCAAAGCAAGTAATGGACTGGGAGCTATCAAGTCTTCCATTGCACAATTGACCATTTTAGGTAAGCAAAACTGAAAACATGAACCAATCATTCAGTTAAACATAGGAGACTCATCTAGGGTGTGGCATGCTGTACAAGATAAGAGCAAGTACTGTATATAGACATGAATAGCATTATATATGCATTTTGCTCTTACTGACAGCAACTCTTTGAATGTTATTCAATTAAAGGAACACTATAGCGCTAGGAATACAAACCTGTATTCCCAACTCTATAGTGCCCTATATAAATTCAGTTGTTCCCCCTTTTCCAAAAGTAAAAAAAAATAGGGGAAAACTGCTTTAAACTTACCCTTTTTCCAGTGCCGAGTCTCCCACGGTGCTACTGCCTGCTCCACCCCCCACAACACCATTATGGAGGTGTTGCTTCCAATATGAATGTCCACTCCAATGCTTCTCGTGAAGGAGCATTGGGGACCAGTTGCGCGTATGGTGAATACTGTAATACTAAGTGATTTGATTTACTATAAACTTCAGATTGCATTATTGGGCACGTCTGTAAGCTAGGGGAGTCTCTTCATTTCTTACACTTCCTGATTCTCAGCCATACCTCTGAGAGTTGTACTACTAGCTTTTATATTTGCACACCGTTTTATCAGCTTGGAGACCGTAGTTTCCGCCTGCACTGGGTTAACATTTGCAAAACAGTGCAAATGTTCTTCTGAAAGTGTAATGTCTCCTATTTTGTTTTGTATGTGTCTGGTTTTCCTATTGTCCACTGACACCTCTGTCTAAGTGAGGTCAAGGAGGGGAGAGAAAATGCCACATTTATAAGTAGATGAATAGGCTTGTTTGGTTGTTGATATGCTTCCTTGAAGTTTGGATTATAACACCAACAGTTAATTATATACTTCTTATTTTATTGCAGGTAAAGGTGAAACTAGCTGTAAGAGATCACCAGAAGAACACCTTATAAAGCTTCCTGTTGATTGCTTTCAAACAAAAACAGGTTCTCACTACTACAATGTAGGCAAGTGCCCAAATAATCAATGTGTGGGGCAATTGAGTTCAGAATTGCTGTGCAAAGACAAGGTAGACTACTGCTGTGGAGTAAAGCGAATGAAGTTGCAGCATGTGAGATGTCCTGGATATACCTTACCAATTATGGCAGTGGTAGAGTGTGGCTGTGCCCAGTGTATACAACCCAAGATTTTGATAAGAGGAAGGGTAACTTCTTATGACAATGGAGAGCCACTAAGGTTTGGAAAAATTATAGTAAGTGGAAAAAGCAAGGGCTTTACTGGATATATGGGAGAATTTACATTAGAAGTACCAGCTGGAACAAAAAGATTAGTGGTAACTTTTGTAGATCCTCAGGATACGTTTTTGGAGACCATCAAAGTGTTTCCATTTGATCCAAAGGGTAATACTGTGTTCCAAGATGTGAAAGTGATGAGAAAACATAAGCCAGTTGATCTGGACCCTACAATAACAAATATAATTTCTCTTGAGGGATTTGCAGAACAGGAGCCTATGGGGGAGATAGTAATACCACCTAATTCTTTTACCAAAGCCAATGGTGAAGTCTATATGGATGTTGTGAAGGCCAGTGTGACTTTTTTGGATCCACGGAATTTTAGTACAGCCTCTGCTGCTTCGAGTGATCTTAATTTTGTGAACAGAGATGGAGATATTTCCCCACTACGGACCTATGGAATGTTTGCTGTGGACTTTAGAGAACATGACACTCATTCCCAGCTGCACACAGGGAAGGTAGAGGTGCGGCTGAATACAGAGCAAGTTAAGATGCCCCAACATCTTGAGAAAATAAAGCTTTGGTCTTTAAATCCAAACACTGGATTATGGGAAGAGGAAACTGATTTTAAAATGCCAGAGGGAAGCAGAAGGAGACGGAGAGAAGAAAGGGCATTTTTAATAGGACAAGTAGAAATACGAGAAAGGCGTCTGTTCAATCTCGATGTTCCAGAGTCTCGGCGGTGCTTTGTTAAAGTTCGAGCATATATGAATGAGAAGTTCATACCTAACGAACAGTTAGAGGGAGTAGTGATAACTCTTATAAATCTAGAACCTATGCCAGGATTCCCATCTAACCCAAGAGCCTGGGGACGTTTTGACAGTGTAATCACAGGTAGGAATGGGGCCTGTCTACCAGCTTTCTGTGATGCTCAACAGCCAGATGCTTACACTGCTTATGTTACTGCTACAATGGGAGGTGAAGAGTTGGAAGCTGCTCCGTCATCTCCCAAACGTAACCCCAATGTAATTGGTGTATCTCAACCATACTTGACCAAACTCAGTTACCAGCGAACTGACCATGAAGACTCTGCTGCAAAAAAGACAGCCTTCAAGATTAACTTAGCCAAACCAAACCCAAACAATTTTGAAGAGAATGTTGGCCCACTATATCATTATCGAAATCTGCATGGTTGTGAGGAAGCCCCAGTTTTAGATAATCATTTCAGGTTTTATCGAGTAGAGGAAGATAAATATGAGTACAACGTGGTTCCATTTGATGAAAGTGACTTGACTTCATGGTCTGGTGGCTATCTGTCCTGGTGGCCTAATCCACAAGAATTTCGAGCATGCTACTTGAAAGTAAGAGTCCAAGGTCCTCAGGAATATATGGTCCGTTCTCGGAATATTGGTGGGAGCCACCCGAGGACTATAGGTCAACTGTTTGGGTTGAGGGACACCCGGAGTGTTAGAGACCCAGCAGGAGAAAGCAGCTCCGCAGCCTGTGTAGAGTTTAAGTGCAGTGGAATGCTCTATGACCAGAGTTTAGTAGATCGCACACGGGTTATTGTGACTCCTCAAGGTAGCTGTCGTCTTGTGGAAGTCAACAGGCTTCTAGAGGAGTATCTTGTACGTCATCCTCCTATGGCAATTGGAAATGATACTGGAGAATTTAATATGTTGGCTCCTGTTGACCCCTTAGGTCATAACTATGGAATTTATACTGTCACTGATCAGAACCCACGACTGGCTAAAGAAATTGCAATTGGACGCTGCTTTGATGGCACATCTGATGGTTTTTCCAGAGAGATGAAAGCCCTTAAAGGTGTAGCACTAACATTCCGATGCCAGGAAAAACCTATTACTCGAGAGAGTTTTTTCCAGCGCTTGCTTAACAATCCAGGAGGAACTGTTCGAGAAATCCAAAGTGGGATGCTAGAGAATGAACAACAGAGAGTGCAAGCTGAAAGAGTGCCTTATCCTTCTACAAATTCATCTTCCTCCAGCCGTATCAGAAGGCCAGTAACGACTGAGAGAAGAATGAGACAATTTCAAAAAAACTGATGTGATAGCCAAATAACTAACAATGGTAGTCACGTCAGTACCCCAGGATGTACTTGAAAAACAGAGAGAGCTAAAAGTGCCATTGCTGGTTATATGATTTCATATTACTATTATAATAAAAACCGTTTCACACAAATAATGCTAAGTAAAATCTCTGTCACTTCACCCTCTGGCTGTAGAAATAAAGTAATACAATTAGATTCTAAATGTCAGCATTATGTTGCTAGACATTAACTTGGAAATGATTAATGGATAACATAATGAAAGAATCAAAACTATTATAATGCTGAATAACATTTTGACCTAAAGGGTTTTGACCAATGATATGATGGAGATTATTATTTTATAAAAGTGCAAAGTTTTAAAAATGCAGTAGTCACCATGGAAATTAGTAGAACCATTTAATTGATTGCTCCACTTTAAATACTTTGCCCTACTCTTCTTTTAGCAAATTTCTATGCAATTCATCCAAGATGTCTGAGTGTATTTGCACTAATATCAATTTCTATGTTAGTGGATTGACGTTGTTACACTGTAATTATACAGATGAGGCAAAGCTGTGCAATATCAATAATTAATAATCTCGGCAACTCAGATGTCATTCAACTCTATTTCCCTTCCTATACTAGACTCTGCCAGCCTAACTGTTTTAGCTATAACGGTGTTACATGTTCATATTGGGCTAGACAATAAACTTCTTTTTAAAGGATATTAATGTCAAAGCTTAATGTGATTTTTAATAAAGGGTTGAAAATGGGGTGTGAAATGGTACTTATCACTCCACATGACCTGATTAATAATAGACAGCATGTCTACAAACAGTATAATAGCAATATTGTCTTTCACACATGCTTTTAATTTAAAGGTCGAGAAGACTAGAGAGAGAGGCTTCACCTTGAGCTATAAAAATAGAAGGAAGTAAAGAATTTCCAAAAACAACATGAATTGAATTTGCAGAAGTATTTTTCCTTTCATAAGTAACTGCAATAGGTGATCTGTATTTAAAGGTCAGGACTTGTGTGTTATGTGCACAGGATTAAATAAACTTGTCCGTATTTTGGATATCAAAAGATGGCAACTGGAAAGAGTCTTGAAAATATATCAGCAGAATCGGAATCTCACATTACACCCTTACAAGGATTACGCCAAGCAAAGAGTAATGGCATGCCTTGTTGGCATGCCCCCACTGTAAAAAAATTAAATAAACTATCTTGACCAACGTCAAATTTCCCCTCTCCTCACACAGTGCTCCTTCATTGATTACCATTACCTAGCTAGTTAACGTAGATCTCAACCTCTCCTAAATTTTATCTTGACTTTAATGGCTGAACCAAAAGAGCAGAACAAACTATTGATTAATTTTCATATACTTCTGTACATATAAATTCAGATAGTGATCAGCACTCATGTATTTTCAAGAATTAAAATGAACAATTTATTAAGTATCCATTAAAAGATCAACGTTTCAGTCCCAGCAGGGACTTTCATCAGGATCAGGCTGGGACTGAAACATTGATCTTTTAATGGATACTTAATAAATTGTTAATTTTAATTCTTGAAAATCCGTGAGTGCTGATCACTATCTGAATTTATTAGAATTTTCCTGGATTACAAGCACCCGGTTATTAAATCATCCAAGCATGAGTGCAAGGACTTTTCTATTTTTGCTTCTGTACATATATGTATATATTTAGAGTACTTGAGATCACAGTATCATAATCTATTCCGATAAAGGAAAACAAAGAATCTGGTTTTGCCATTTATTATCTTCTGTAATGTAGTGTGTGTGTGTATATATATATATATATATATATACACACATATTATATATTATATATATATATATATATATATATATATATATACCAGGAGGGCTGCACTCACCTGAACATGCATACATTATAGGGTGCTGCTGGGACCAAAATACACAACCCAGCGCACTCGCTTATTAACTAAACAATGATATCAAATCCTAAATAGTTTTATTTAAACACCTCACCTAGGTAACAAATAATGGGGGTTTGGTTACAATATATGATCATACATTGCATAACCCTGCCACAACGTCAATGTACCCCATTCTCGGCAGGTCCTACTCTAACAGCCTAATGTTTGCTCTTATGAGATTAATTCACTTACTTGGGAAATACTTTCTTACTGGGACTCTCTGCCTCATTCCAGGACCATATTTAGCCTTGACTTGCAGAGTCCCAGTAAGGAAGTATTTCCCAAGTAAGTGGATTAATCTCATAAGAGCAAGCATTAGGCTGTTAGAGTAGATTGTGTAAAATATATATAAATGTGATTCTTTGAGGAACTAATTTGCATATGTCCACCCAGAATCCTTTGCAGTAGAAACGTCACTGCAAACTTATGATTTCTGTGGGAAAAGCAATTCTGGCTTGACTGGTGTGCAGATCTTTGTATTGTATCCACTGACTTCAGATGGTTTTTAAACAAACAAACAAAAAAAACAAAAAAACCTCTCTCTTTCTCAAATTCTAAGTTCCCATCAAACAGGACACAGCAAAAGGAAATTTGGAAAGAGGAATTTGGGTCCTGAAATCACAGTCTCTCCTAAATGAGAGATTCAGTTTGTCTCTGGTAAACATGCATATTCCTATGTAATTTAACACATTAATAGGAACAACAAATGTTTCCAGTAATCTCCCACCTTTAATATGTTTTTATCTGGCTACTGCAACATCCTCTCAGATAAATGACAACAGCCTTTTTACTTGTCTCATGTAGACACCAGGAAATTAGCAGGAATGTATTTAATGACTGGGATTCGAAATTCTGCATTTCCACTGGAGAGATCCAAACAGACAGACATTCCAAATTTCCTCTGTGTCCCTGTGCACAGAATAATGTGCTGTGCACAATATGAATTTTTGCTTTAGATGGAAGACACAGACAGGGTTAAATGCCAACCAAGTATTTTACAACTGTATACCGAGCAGGCATAACAGAAGTGGCAGTATCTCTGTGTTTGTGCGTCACAAACGAAGAAAGAAATTGAAGCCCTGTGCATGAAAAAACAGCCCTTTATTAAATTGTTTTTTTGCTTGCACAGTGCGTATCTTAATATTGCCTAAACATGCATTGTCAGTACTTTTGCTTGTTTTAAACTAAATAATTTAATTGTAATCTCGGGATATGTTTCAAAAGTCAGCTGATGAAAGATTTCATGTTTTGTACTGTAAGTTATGTACTTTGTTAACGCTTTCATATGTTATTTAATAAATTCTGCACTTCTGATCATAGCACAATCCCTATGGTGTGTATAATTAAGCGCCTTACAATTGGGAAAGTTATAACACATCTTTTGCAACTTGTTATGGACAATGCCAAATGATGATAATAAAACTGTAAAATCTATTAACGAACATTTCCCTTGCATATGTTTGGATGTGCAATACAATATCACAAAGAGATAGAAATTGTGAACGGATTTGTTGTGTCCTGGTACTTGCCTTCCAGCCCTCTAAATGGATGTGACCTGAAAATAAATCATATAGGATGATAACATTAAAAAAAAAAAAAATGCATTACCCTAGTCAGGGGACAACTGGCAGACTCTTTTACCTAATAATAACCAGGTGTTGTGCTAGGCAGCTGGCAATATAATCTACATAATATGTATATCAAAAAGTAAGATGTGTATTAAAATTGTAATTTTGACAGCCTCGTAGTGCCATTCATGATCCAACATTTTTTTAAACTTTTTTTTTTTTAGTAATCATGGAAATAGCATATAGTAATTTTTGGTTGATATTTCTTTGCTTGCAATATGTTTCCATTAGTAAGGTTTACCAAAAAACAATGTTTTCATTGTTGTTCAAATTGCTAAATCCATTGTTTGACTGAGGAGCACACATGTTTGGCCTACTGATTAAAACATGCTGGCATTTGATTACATATAATCTGAAATCATAACAGAGTCTTGTGCACTAAATAACCACACATGTACAGTCTTATTGAATGAATGTATTAGTTACAGACCTAAAGTATTCTGTATTTAAGTGAGGGTGAGAGCTGAGAACCCAAGATGCTCATTTATGTGGATCAGACTTGCAGAACCTCTTTTACTGACATATAATTAATGGATAGAAATATTAAGGTGGTATTTCTGTACTGATGTTCACAGGTGGAAAAATTTTGTGTTTTTTTTTGTTATCCACCCAAGATATAATGATGTCACTATCTAGAATGCAAATCTTTTTAGAGACCTAGGCATGTCAGAAGAGAGACCAGATTAGCCCTCTCACACTAAGAGACTATTGGTTCTCTCCACGTTAAAAATAAAAAATACTTAAATAGTAATTTAAAAAGTGAGGTTCTTTTACAAAACTAAAAATGAGGATAGCAGGCCATCTTAAGGAAAAATCAGCTTTTATAAATCAGCAATTTGTCTTTGTCAATGTTGACAAATATGAATAAATGTTAAATTACTGTTACATTTATTCCTTAAATGTATTCCTTAAAAAGACCAGGAGTGCAACCAGCATTTTTAGTCTTGTATGTAAACTGTGAGGTCCCAGAGAACTGCAGACTTAATCTAATAATAAAACACAAGCATTAGTTGGGTAACCTTAGGGCTATGGGAAGCGTGTTAGCGTAAACAGGGAATTACAATCACGGGAACAAGCTGAATTAAAATGGCAGCCGTTGGCATTAAGGAGTGAGAATCTCATTAATTTCAGGGACAATCAGACATGCATTAACTGCCCATTGCTTTGTTACATGGTATAAACGCACAGATGACATCACCATCCCTGCAGTATGATGTTCTAAAACACAATCCTTTGAAATAACATTTAGGTCTTGTACAATATATATATATATATATATATATATATACACACACACACATACACACACACACTCTCTCTCTCTCTCTCTTTTAGTGGCTGTTTAACAGGCTATCTCCTGTTAACTTACTTTCCTGGGAAGCATTTGCCCTTAATCTCTCATTCTTTCTGCAAAATATAATTTCCTTAAATTCCAAGTGACCCGTCCAGCTCCCAGTCTTACGGCGTCTCCTCTCCTTAAAGTGAAATACAACTTGTCAGTGTAATTTTATGTGTGTGCTTCAATGGTTGGTGCTTTACTCTGCCTGGATTTTGGGGTTAACATGACACTGTATGCCTTGCTACGGAAATGCCTCACACCTCATAGTTCTGTAGACTCTAACGTGTTTACCTCATTCATCCCAAATGCTTTGATGTTGGAACAGAAAATGTGAAGACTCAGTGTGGAAAAATGCTTGTTTTGGCTCCTAAACATTGAAAACAAGAAAATCGAGAAACTATGAATGCATTAAAACAGAAAAAAAAATCTAATGAGTGAACATTTTTAAAAATGTATATATGTGCATATGGATATGCATGTACACTTTTAAAGATTCACATATTTACAATTGCACGGAAAGGTACCAAAAACAGGCAAAAAAAAAAATCATATTTTCACCATAGAATCATTTCACCATAGAGTATCAAAACATACAATATTATGGCATCACCAACAGTGTCCATGGAGGGTCCAAATTATCTGAATCACTTTTCACACTGGACCCTTGCATGGCTTCAAAAGCAAAAGAAAAATAAAAAAATTTTCATTGGCCTTGGCAAAACTAGGTTTATGCACCGCCATATTTATTAGAAGAGCACTTAAAGGGATACTGTAGGCACCCAGACCACTTCAGCTAATTGAAGTGGTCTGGGTGCAATGTCCCTGTCAGTATTACCCTGCAATTGTAATTATTGCAGTTATTGATAAACTGAAATAATTAACTTGCAGGGTTGACTCCATCTCTAGTGGTTGTCTACCAGACAACCACTAGAGGCACTTACGGGTCGTTAGGCGACTTTTGGTTGCTTTATTAAAGGACCACTATAGGACCCAGACCACTTCAGCTTAATGAAGTGGTCTGGGTGCCAGGTCCAGCTAGGATTAACCCTTTTTTCTGTAAACATAGAAGTTTCAGAGAAACTGCTATGTTTACCTATGGGTTAATCCAGCCTCTAGTGGCTGTCTCAGCTGCTAGAGGGCTTCCGCGCTTCTCACTGTGATTTTCACTGAGCTCCCTCGCTGCCACCCGTGTCCTGCTTCCTCTCCTCCGGCCGGGTAAATGACAGCAGAGTAGGCACCTACAACGTGGGGCGAGCAGGTGCCTACTCTGCTTTTACACGAGGCATGTACTCGCGGCTCACCAGGCCGCAAAGAGGTCCATTATGGGCCACATGCGGCCCGCGGGCTGTGAGTTTGACATGCTTGCCCTACCCTTTCACAGACCCCCTCACACCCTGTCATAGCTCCCCACAGACTCTGTCACAGCCCTCTCTATACACACAGCCTGTCATCCCACACACACCCTCAAAGCCACCCCAGTCTGGCACCCCACAAACACCTTGTCACAGCCCCCCCACACCCTGGCACACTCCCTCCTGTAACCATGTCACAACCCCCCCCTCTCATTCTTACCCTCCCTCCTTTTGTAACACTCACCCAACCCTGTCTCATTTACCCTCTTCACCCTGTCAAACTCACCCTGTCACAGTCACCAACTGAATACATTAAATACATTATGCCATAACACAATGCACAAAGGGCCACAGGCAGCCCCCATAAACACAACAAGCAGCTACCCCAGACACATAGCTCCCAGGCTCATGCTCACAAAGACACACATATACACACACACAAGGACACTCTCTGTCAGACACACACTTTTAGGCACATACACAGGTAGACAATGCCAGACACACTCAGAAATACACACACCTGCACTTATGCATACAGGACTGCCAGGCTATGTAACCATACCCTACAATCGTGTATAAATGATTAGCATAATTGCTAATTAAATTTGTTTATTGCAAATTCATTTAGTTTGCTAATTATGCCAGAGCTTGTCAACTAACTCTCTGTATCCAGCACTGCAAGCCCATCTGTTACGAACGCTGGTATAGTGGATACCCTGTTTGCCTATTTCCTACCGAACTGCTGAGCCTGAGTGATTATAGCTTGCAGTTCGGGTGTAGATTCGAACGGTTCCAGACGAATGCAGCATCCAAGTAGTGTTCCCAGCAAGTAGACTGCAACCCAAACATCAGCCTAGACTAAATGAAGGGTACAATAGGAAATTAAGTTTAATGGTGCCACACTGGCTTTTATGCAAGTCCCCATGCAAGGGGCACTCCCACATGGACCTTGTGGGGGACTCCAACTCAAGGTTTACAACCAATAACAATACAGTTACAAAGTGTGACACTCCCAATACAAACAGATAATCCCTCCTCTCTGCCTGTGAAATAATTGAGTCAGATACTGTAATAACTCAATTATCTCCAGGCAGAAAAAAAACATTTTTCATAAAACTTGTCAAGTACCCCAAAACACATAAGAGTCCCGAATAACATGGTGGTTTCATCACATTGTCCTTTAATATAACTTACATTACACATACAATGCAACCCCTATTTATTTACACTTTTGGTGTTAGTGGGGGCCTCGTGTTTGAGTTTTGCCTAAGGCCTCACAAAGTCTGGTGCCGCCTCTGCATTTTTTCCTAGCGCCATAGTATCCTGCTTTAGAACAGGTGCCAAAAAATACACAGCTCAAGGTGTGGTCTTAACATTGATTTATACAGAGAGAAAATTATATTTTCATTCTGTGAAATAATGCCCATTTTTATACATAATAGTACCTTACTGACTTTAGCAACTGCTGATTGAAATTGCACATTGTTGCCTAGTTTGTTGGCTAAGACAATTCCCAAATCCTTCTCATGTCTTGATAGCTCTAATTCACTAGCGTTTTGGAAGTTGCTTGTGTGTTCTTTCCCCCAAAGTGCATAACTTTCTATTTTTGTACATTAAAGTTTATCTGCCATTTCAAAGTGCAGTTCCTCAATCTATCTAAATCCCTCTGCAGCAAAGTAATATGCTGCTCACATTGTATTACTATACAGAGTTTTGGATCATCCGCAAACACTGAAACATGACTTTCAATGCCTGTTTCAAAATCATTTATAAATATGTTAAATAGAAGCAGTCCCAAAACAGAACCATGAGGGACACTACTTACCACTTTTGTCCAGCTTGAAGGTTTTCCAATAATGACAACTCTCTGTACTCTATTTTTAGGCCAATGTTCTACCACAGAAGAAGAACAATTTTGATCTAGATTAATTTATTTTACTTTGACCACTAACATATGGTGTGGAACTGTATCGAATGCTTTAGCAAAATCCAAATAGATTACATCCTCTGCAACACCCTGATCTATACTTTTACTTAATTTTTCGCAGAATGCTATTAAGTTAGTTTGACATGTTTCATAAATCCATGCTAACTGTTGCTAATAATATTTTTCCCAATGAAAATAATCCATTAATAACCCTCCAAATACTTTCCCTGCCACAGAAGTTAGTCTCACAAATCTATAATATCCAGGCAAAGATTTCAAACCCTTTTTGAATAAAAGGAACCACATCTTCAAAGGCAGAATAAGTATACAGCCTCCCTTTTGAACATTAGGGACCCTGGTGCCCTGCAATAGTTCTAGACATTCTAAGCACCATTAAAGCTTTGCATACTTGCAGCATTTCTAAGTTTACACCTCAGA